GTAGTGTCTCCTTTTTCCAGTGACTCCGCTCCTAGACTCCGCCTCCAATGCCCGGCTTTCAGTGAAAAACGAGATTGCAGGACGAAAAAGCATGAAAATCGTCACTTGTACGATCGTAGAGTTCTTATCGGTGAATCAGCTGTGCGTATGAGGGCGTAGTGTGGGAGATAGTTCAATTGGGCACGTACAAACTGGGATCGAAATGGGGTTCTATCTAGGGCAGGTGGCATGTTTTTTGTGCTTTTTTTCTTCACTATCGAGGGGACCCGGGCGATTCTATCGTCGGCAAGTCAGGTCACGTCGCGCACATCGCGTCGCGGCGTCTCGCGCGGCGGCGCGGTGCGACAATTCCGGAGTTGCATTACCGACATACAAATGAGTCTCGAAGACCGCGTATTCACAAGTTCCGAAAAGCCCAAAATTGGATCAGTAATTTTGAACAAATAACGTGGGACCAGTCTTACACCCTTTACTTTTGAATGCGGAAAAAACAATCATTGATCATCATAGGAAAATGGGACAAGCAGTACAGGATTAACATAAACAATATGGCTTGATGATCATTTTAACAATTTCAACGAGCACGACGCAGCAGGACTCGTACGCGGCGCCCACCAGCGCGGCGACCTACTTATCATCGACGATAGAATCGCCACACACCCCCCGCCCCCTAGCTACGGCGCGTCCAAACTTCATTTTTACTGCTACCTGGTGGTGGGATCACTAGCTCTCCACTTCGAATGGTGAGAGTGAGATTATGTGAAAAAAAAGCTGGCACCAGCAAGTGAGAACTCGTCCGACCACGCCACTTTTTCGCCTTGTGTACGCACGAGCGCGGATCCATAGGGTCCTATATGGGGCATTTCGGATGGGTTCAGATGCTTTTTCACTGTTGTTTTATTTCCTCTTGTCATTAGTTGGAGCCGCAGGAATCGCCATTTTTTTGGCACCGGGCGTGCCTTGATGCCTCAAAATGAATTAGTAAAACGTTTCGGAGGAACTCAAACAGGATTCCCATAAAGTCAAAACTATCCAACTAACTATAGAAACTCACAGTTAGATGAGTGCTTTTGAACTCTGGATTCGTATCTTTCTTAAAATCTTAAACAGGATTTAACTTTCGATGAGCTATGACCCATATAAAGCATGAGTGCAGGGAATGAAAGCGGGATAACGGATAGTATGTGAGGGCTACGAGTCGGACAGGGGTGGGGGAGGCTGGATTCATCGGAGAGTCTTAGGGTTCCATTGGCAGCTCGCTGAATTAGCACGATGGTTTCCTACTCGGCCTAAAATGCTAGTAGGGCGCTATATAGTGGGGAAATGGCGAAAGAACGGAGTGAAACGGTCAAAATCCTGCGAAGAAAAA